TTCTCTGTCGTCTGACATTCTTTCAATATAACCCAACCATTTAAGTCTATTAGCTCTCATGATGCCAGTGATCAGTGGTGATTTAAACAGATTATGAATTTCGTTGTTGCTTCTCACTCTGCATTCACCGCTGTTTGCATCTTTGATGAGTCCAAAGATTCGTCGTAAGATTCTGTTTTCAAGAAACCTGTAATATGGCTTCATCTATTTTAGTTGTGATGCAAGCATAACAAGTCAGCCTCATAAAATCACATTTATCAAATGAACGTTGCAGCAAGGGAGCCTTCATAAGCACAAATACATATCCTATAATGAACAAGAACGCATAGAATTAGTGATGTATCTGCGATAGAACGAAAACGGTAAAAGGAATACAGTATAAGCAAGCAACACTAGCACAAACAGATGCTAGCTGTTCTACGAGTGTTGGACACACAAGAGAGGTGAAATTAGTAAACTGTGGTGAGGCTATAAACATGATAAAGAGTAGCCCCATTAGTCAAAGCTGTCGAAATATTTATCTGATCGTCTTGTAAATGACTAAGCACTCCTGATATTTGTCATGAGTGACAACTGTTATGTCTGGTTCCGTGAACAGAAAACTAGACAGGACAATAGTTTAAGCCAATCTGGCAAATAGAAAATAACACCCTGTGTGCGCGTGTCTTTTGACCTAATTACCTAACTAGTTGTTTTTCGGGGCCCCTGACCTCAAATTGGGTGGGGTAACCTACATGACGTCATAGTGACCGGAATATTGTCTGCAATGTCATTGGTTCATCACGTCCGGGTTTTGCGGTCAGCTTCTCATTTAACTATTACATCCAATTTCGTCCTTTTTAGGACGAAATTTTTTGTCATTTTAAGCCCTACTCTGGCTTTTGCCAGGGGCCGCAATATAGGCAGGCCATAAATGTGCCATTGTCTGAAAACGCGGTTTCTGGGACCTCCAATCCACGGCGATCCTCATCCGCATGGTGGCACTTTGTGTCATCGGGTGTTTATCGCTTGTGTGATGTCCTGGTGGGGTAGAAATTCATTCATTCATTCATTGAGGGATTGTTCCTGACCTCTATATGACTGCAGGTCACACTTGGCAGAGGTTGAACGAGGTACCTGGGAACTACCGTGTTAGTCGTCAGTCCAGACTGTATGGGCAGCCTTTACGACGGGGTACACTGATGGTCTGATCGATTCAACCTTTTATCCATTAATGCTGTCATCCATAGATTAGTGCGAAATTTTCGCGTCATTATTTTTCGCTGCTCTGAATTCTCGGGAAACTTTTGGATCACGTTCAGTGTTAGGTCATTTTTCAGTGATCATATTTTGGGACCGAAACTATGTTTTAACAGCAGTGACAAAAACAAAATCAAAACAAAATTGTTCGGAAGCTTGCTGTAAATAATCGCCCGGTCACGTGCTAATGTGTCCTTTATGTAAGCAGGGTCAGATTAACATTAAGCACATCAAGTGCGTGCTTGGGATGCCACAGAGGGAAGGGGCACCATATTTTTAACATCTTTGGAGCTGATGTTTTATTTTGTCGGTTGGAGTATATTTGAAAAAAAAAAAATCCAGTTTAGAACATCAGTGCAACCAAGGCAGGATGGATGCATTATCTCTGTTAAGTAAAGAAGCAGAAGTGTTATATAATTTATGTTTGAGGATCTGATCAAAGACTTTGAAAACAAATATTAAAAAAAAAAAAAAAAAAAAAAAAAAAAAAAAAAAAAAACCTTATAAGTATAAATAAAGTTGAAGTAGACAAAAGTAGATTATGTGTTCCATCTTTCTGTAAGTTTTGTTTAATATCGATCAATATAGTTTCATTTTGTGTCCGGATATATTTGTAGCCGGCCGTGGTCTAGTACAAGTGTTTCTGTATCTACAGCTTTCGCAGCCAGAAAATAGCCCAATGAAACATGTCAACAACACGCTTTGTGTGTGATCTCTAGTAGTAGGAGGGGAGCAATAACTGACTGTACAGGCTCCCAGCACTGACAGAATCAGGCCTTCTCACTGAACTGGCAGCAGAGATCCTGGTAGAGGATGAACAAGAGGCAGCCCTAACAACTGATCTAAAGGAAGAACATGCAGTCACTAAGGGACAACAATTAATTACTGGTCTAAGGAACTACAACCACTGGTGTAAGGAACAACATGTAACCACTTGTGTAAGGAACAACATGTAACCACTGGTGTAAGGAACAACATGTAATCACTTGTCTAAGGAACAACATGTAATTATTGGTCTAAGAACCAACATGTAATCACTGGTCTAAGGAAATACAACAATTCGTCTAAGGAACAGAATATAACCACTGGTCTAAGGAACAACACGCAATCATTGGTCCAACGAACAATATGTAATCATTGCTCAAATAAGCCACAAACAACCACTAGTTTAAGTACACAACTACATAAATAAAGTAAGACTTGTGATTGCCACGATGGCTGACCATTTTATTCTCAAAAACATTTCATTTTCGCGAAACATTTTTCATAAATAATAAAGGGCCCTTGCGGGTGCCTTCAGGCGTAGTCATCATAAGGGGCCTATTCGATCCTTATCTTATAGATCAATTGGCACTGCATTGTTGATGTTCATAACTTATAACAAACAATGATACCATTGTCACCTCTGACATAGAGCAGACACAAAATAGACAAACAGCAGATAAAGCCAAAAGGAATAGAATACTGGTCCAAATTTGAATTTAAAATGAAACTCCTAAAAACAGTCAATTGTGTCTCAAGAACTGGTCTGTCAGTGTAAATCAGAGAACGAACACTAGACGAAGAAGAAACAGACAAAAGATAGAATGTGTCACATTATAAGAAGAAACAGACAAAAGATAGAATGTGTCACATTATAAGAAGAAACAGACAAAAGATAGAATGTGTCACATTATAAGAAGAAACAGACAAAAAGAATAGATGTGTCAGAAGAAACAGACAAAAGATAGAATGTGTCACATTATAAGAAGAAACAGACAAAAGATAGAATGTGTCACATTATAAGAAGAAACAGACAAAAGATAGAATGTGTCACATTATAAGAAGAAACAGACAAAAGATAGAATGTGTCATATTATAAGAAGAAAAACAACCGCAGGATGTGTCACAGCTAAGACAAAACATATAAATGTCAATTGACTGTCACAAATCTAGGATTAAACGCATGATAGCTTTCACATATACACAATAACACATGCATCATATGTTACATATACAGCCTAACACATGTGTCAATTATCACATATAGTCAAATAGCAGGTTGTTTGCAGAACGTCTCTCTCATCGCGGTCTGCTTGAAAGAAACCCTCGTCTGTCGCCAACTCTCCCGCCTCGTATACTTTCGTTTTCAAGGAGTCTCCTAAATCCTGTGCCCATCTTCGTGTCGGTCGGCCCTTGCCCCTCCTTCCTGGTACCATGCCTTCTGCTTTATATTTTTTCCAATCTGCCATGACGTTTGATATCATCATCATCACCAAGTGCCTTGCCAATTGATCTGGGAGTTCACGTATCTCCAGAGATCTCGGTCTTTGCTGTTCTGGGTCAATTCCACTGATGATATTTCTCCAAGCCACTGTCTTAAGCAACCACCATCATTTCTATTGGTCTGCTCTGCCTATTCTACCAGTCATCCTTCCAGTTGTCACGATATTTTCCAATGCTCCTTTTCTCATCACATGATCACATAACTTTGTCTCCTTCTCATTGTTGTATTTAATGCTCAACTTTCGTTAGCCCTTTCCATGCACTCATTGTTAGTTAATCTGGCAGTCCAAGGTATTCGCATCATTCTTCTCATGAACCACATCTCAGTTGTCTCCAGACTCTTCTTAATTTGTTTGCTCTCATTCTAATTAAAATCCACTGATTCACAACAGAACAGGTTTGACACATTTCAGTTTTCGTTTTCTGATGTTTAATGAGAGTGGTTTATTACATAAGATACTTTTCATCTTCTGAAATGCTGCCCTTGCTTGTCACATTCTGCTCTTAATTTATGTCACATTTCGTCCACCTTATATTTTGAATGTCCCCAATTACTTGAATTTATTGTCTCGGTTAATATTATTTAACCAAAATATTTCAGCTTTTGAGACACGATACTGTTTATTAGCCAATCTTTCTACAGCATTCCATCACAAAAGCCCCTATTTTCTTTCTTAAGGACTGGGAGATAGTCCACGACTCACAGTCCACGACTCACATCCGTATATTGCTACAGGGAAGTAGGGGGATAGTCCACGACTCAGATCCGTATGTTGCTACAGGGAAGTAGGGGGATAGTCCACGACTCAGATCCGTATGTTGCTACAGGGAAGATGGGAGATAGTCCACGACTCAGACCCGTATGTTTCTACAGGGAAGGGATATAGTCCACGACTCAGACCCGTATGTTGCTACAGGAAAGGGATATAGTCCACGACTCAGATCCGTATGTTGCTACAGGAAAGATGCATGCTCTCAACATTCTAATTCTGAGTTAGTTGCTGCTGTTTAACCAAAGACCTTGAATGCTGTTGAATTTTTACATTTTATGGCCATCCTCCTTTTGATTTCTGTCAAACATTCTCTACTGCTATTTATTATAGAACCTAGATATTCAAAGTCTGTGACATTTTCAATCTCTTATCACATATATAAGAATGTGTTACATATAGAAGACAAAACATATGTCAACAGGCTACTTCATTTAAAAAACAAAAACATAACACGCAGAAGAAGGAATGAATACAAACACTGCACACATGTATCTACTCAGATAACACGGCCATTAACCACAGAAAACACACGCTACACAGAGAACACACGGTACACAGAGAACACACGGTACACAGAGAACACACGGTACACAGAGAACACACGGTACACAGAGAACACACGGTACACAGAGAACACACGGTACACAGAGAACACACCGTACACAGAGAACACACCGTACACAGAGAACACACTGTACACAGAGAACACCATTCACTGACAACTCAGAAATCCAGCTGGAGATGTGTCACCTCCAGCCCCACCCCAAACTCCTGAGACCAGGGCCCACTGATGGCATCAATGAAGTCTGCGGTGTTTTGGCGGGAAGCCAAAGTTAGATTCCAACACGAAGAGTGGTCGTCTGCTCCAGCGAACAGTTCCAGGCTCACTTTCTTCATGGAGATGGGACAGACTTTCTGTTGGGATTTACACGGAATATTTAGTGAAATAATATCAGCAGACCTTTTTTTTTTTTGGTGTGTGCATGGAATATTTAGTTAGATGCGATGCGACAGACTTTCTGATGAGATGTACAAAGAATATTTAGAGAGATGATATGGGCAGACCTTCTGTTGGTGTGTACAATGAACATATGGTGAGATGCGATGAAACAGACCTTCTCTTTGTGTTTACAAGGAAAATCTGGTGAGATGAGATGAAACAGACTTTCTGTTGGTGTGTACAAGGAACATCTGGTGAAGTGAGATGAAACAGACCTTCTTTTGGTGTGTACACAGATAATCTATATGTGATAGACTAATGTCTTTGTACTGCCCTTCATTTCAGCTTCCACAAAGTTTCTCAGTTTATAATTTACTTATTATCTCTTTGTTTGCGTTTTGTTATTCTCCACAGTTGTCCACCTGCTGTTATGGTACACACGCATTTGAGACCGGCGACTTGCTGGCGAGACACCGCCTGACTACAAGACACAAACAACAAGGAGACAACGGAGACTCACCAGGGAGGCAACGTTGTTGATTCTCTGCCGCGCCAGGACGGTGAACTGTTTACCTACAGTCTCTACGGTAACCGGGCCTTGCAGACGGGGTTGTGGCCACTGGTGGTTGGCGAGAACCAGGCAGATCTCGCTCGAGCTGACAACCACACTCACAGGGATGCGCTCACCCACACCTGACCATGGCATATACAGTTAGCAAGTGCGTGTATCTATATATATATATAAATCAATGTTTGTGTGTTTGTTTGCCCCCTATAGACTCGGAAACTACTCAACCGATTTAGCTGAAATTTTCAGGATATGTTTGTTTTGATACCGGATGTTGAACCATCATGGTTCGAAATTCAACCTGTCACTGTTAGAGATAGGTGACCACAATTTAAGCCATAATATTCAAAACTAATATTTATAATTTTAGTGATTTCTAATTATAGCCACGTTAGTAATTGCGCATGCGCCGTGCAGCCAACACCTCCTCTAATACATAGAGTAGGTCGTGGTACAGCAAACAGGACTATATCTATATCTGTGCAGGCAATGATTGCCACAATAACTATATTAGACACGATTTCTATTTTCTGTTTTTTTTTCAAACATCCTTCGATGAGTTGAAAAGTAGCCGATGGATTGGTATGGAAAAAGAGGGGGGGGGAGCATCAGGGACCATCTCGACGTCTGCGCAGACATTGACTGCGACATTAACCGTGTTAGACACGTGCGATTTTTGTTGTTGTGCCGTTTCATTAATATATTTGGAATATCTGTCTATGAGAAAACAATTGCCTGCTGTTTTGAGTTGTGTTATAATCGGGACACTGCAGTAGGGACACACATCTAAAATAGTTATGTTCTCTTTTCGTTATTCTGATCGAGTGGTTGCTTGGTCGAATGGTTAGAACACTCGGCTCTTGAGAGGGAGACCAGGGTTCGAATTCGCAGTATTTTTTTTTTTTACTTAGGGCTAAAATAAAATCCTCACCTGCACTGTCGTGGTGACAGCACTAGCCATATGGCCCTTAATGATATATATATTTAAAAAAAAAAAAAAAATAATAAATATATATATAGGGACAGGTTTATGGGTAAACCAGTTGATAATTAAATTTGACCATTTCACATACTTATTTCATTTTAAACTTTTCGATTGCATGGTTACGCTGAATTTTCATAGCTTTCCATTTATTTTCATTTAGATTCAATTATTTCATCTGCGTTGGAATTTTAAGCTGTGCTGTTTACCATAGCGTTCATTTCCTAATTCTGGTGTATTTTTCCTGTTTTAATTGCTTTTCAATTGGTTTTTTTCCCCCTCTCAACTACTTCGATGAGGGAAAGAGTAGTCGGTGAATTGGGGGGGGGGGGGGGGGGGGGGGGGCAAACTGATTACTGAGAGAGCTTTAAGTCACAGTAACTGCTTTACCCACTCAAAGTAGCAGCAGCAGTAGTAGTTGTGGTTGGGCAGTTACACCGTAGTGCTCTCATGTGAAGACCGCCGGTAAGGTTATGGCATTCTTATGTCGGGGAGCGAAATCATACATCCTAACCTGACCAGTCTGTGGCGACAGCACTAGCCATGTGGCGCCAAATCTTCTGGCTCACGACTCACTGTCTATTCCGATGGTAAAACAGATAGCAGTGACATTATTTTTGCTGTGGTGGTGGTCGTGGTAGTAGTTGTACTGGTACTTGAAGGATGATGCGGTAAATATTACATTAGCCCCATTCACTACCTATTACAATTCCTGCTCCCAATTTAGTCCGGATGGACAGGGGTGTCAATGTCAGTTACAACAAAAAGAATATCGCCAGGTGATGATTTTTCAATCCTTCGAAGAGGGAGAGAGCAGTAGTCGGTGGAAGAGGGGAGGGGAGAGGGTAATGACTGAAATTTAAAGAGAACTTGAAGAGCTTTACACATGATTTTTAAGTTCTCATTACTTACTTAAATTGTTTATATTTTACTAACCTTCACTATTCTAATTTCTGTACGACTTACTTTGTTATTTACAAGTACAGTAGTAGCTTTACTTACGTCTCCTATAAAAATACAAACAGCTTTATCATGTGATAACCGAATAACCACTTTTGTTACTGTGCTAATAGCACCATTTAAACGACCACTAATATAAAGACACAATTATATGGTGCGTGTTCTAAAGATGGAAAATCAGACTATCTCTATATAAATGTGCTGAGAATGATTGCGACATCAACTATATTAGACAGGTGCGATTTCCATTGTCTTTCTTTTCCAAAAACCTTTGATGAGGGAGAGGGTAGTAGGTGGATTTAGTTGTGGGGGAGGGGGGGGGGAGTGGGGGATCAAAGACTATCTCTATATCTGAGCAGACAATGATTGTATTAGACACGTGCGATTTCTATTTTTTCATTTCCATTTAGCCAAACTATGCCACAGCAACGAGTGGCCGGGTACAGCTAGTATAAAATATAAAAGCAGAAGGCATGATACCAGTACAGAGAGGCAGTAGCCCATGATTGAAGTGACACTTTGGGAAGGAGAGTGCATGAGGCGGAAGAGCTGGCGAAAGACTTTCTTTCAGGTCGACAGTGATGGAAGCGACGTTCTACAAAAGATCTGCATGGTGATGATAAAGCATGTGGATGTATGTGCTGGTCTATGTGTGCATGCCCATGTATGTGTATTATTCTGTTTAGACAGAATGTTTTCACACGTACTGATTGATCACAATTAAAGAGACCGACGGTCTCCACCAGACGTCACTCTTGTAGCAACAAACATGTAAGGCACATTGGATTACAGCCTACAGTCCGCACATGATGATGTTGACTGACTACAGCCTACAGTCCGCACATGATGATGTTGACTGACTACAGTCGCAAGTGTAGTGGAAGCTCCGCCAACTGGACAATATATGTATAGATAAAACACAACATGACCCTTGACCCATTAGGGTCTTGGATGTGTATGAATGGAAGCAGTAACACATAAAACCTGCCATCTTTCTCTGTCTTCCGCTGGATGAATAAGTGTTTTGATAACTTAGTCCTGTACGATAACTTAGTCCTTTATAATAACTTAGTCCTGTCCACTTCTTAATGTTGTCATTCCAGGTTCTTCTTTGCCCTCCTCTTCTTCATCTACCCCCCCCCCCCCCAATGTTCCTTGAAGTATAGACTATGCAATCGAATCATGTCTCACCACGTGCCCAAACTAAGCTAGCTTGCGACGTTTCACCGCTGCCTAGTGAGGCTCCAGATGTCCTACAAATTTGTAGATTTTATCTCTATCATATTATTTAGTGTGTGTGTTTGTGTGTGTGCGTGCGTGCGTGTATGTGGGTGTGTGTGTGTGTGTGTCAAGAAAAGATATACACCCGAACGAAAAGTATATTGGCAAGCTCCACAATATAACAAATACGAACAAAACCTGAACTTTGCGACTATTAAGCCTTCATCAGCACACACAAAATAAACAATACTACATAGATACAAAAAATCACTTAACTGGTATCAAAATGGGGCCAGGTCGGTGGTTACTCAGCAAAATGACCGCACGTGTCAGTTGGGGGAATAAATACCCCCCTGTGGGGCCATAACTAGGGTGTACGGGTTGAAACTGAGGGCAGTTCAATCCCCTGGAAGTTTAAATGAAACTGTGTTGGCAATTCATTCCACAGTGTGGACAATGATGGGGACAGTTTGTGGACAATGATAGTGACAGTGTGTGGACAATGATAGGGACAGTGTGTGGGCAATGATGAAGAATGGCTAGTGACACTTATGGGGAGAGTCTGTGAACAATAATGGGGATAATAAAAACAACTAATTATCTCAGATATACTGACCTTTCTCCAGGGAGCCCATACAGTAATACAGCAACTTCTGTCCCGGGGTCACCTGGGACACCACATCTCTGTCAAGGTTGTCGAGTGTTGACTGATCCGTGTCCTCATTAACGACCACGGTTGAGTTAATTCCGTGACGTATGGCGTAACTGGTCAGGTGACCTGGTAAAGGTGAGAAGGAAAACATCCTGACGGTTATTTATACGATGGTCTCCTCATTTAGATACCACCGGTTGTAGGTCAAGTCCATTGATAAGTTGGTTGGACTAGTCTACCGTGGTCAAGGTTATGGGTGTCGCAGTCTGTTGTTTTTTTCCATATACGTTTTTATTTCCAAGAAAGACTGCCTGTGACATAGGTTTTGTCACTCTCTAGGTGGGTTGTGTGTTAGACCCAGTACCTAAATGTTTTAGAAGTGTTAACAATTCTGGCTTGGTGAAATATACAACACGCGGTATCAGAGCGAGTGCGGAACATCCTTGCATGAAAGTCGGATCGCTCGAGGCCGACCTATCAGATGTGAGTTGATATGTAGGTCGTCTAATCAGAAACGAGCTAGTGTGTAGCGGTGTGTAAATGGAGAGACCAGCGTAAATTTTACCCATCCTGACATACATCAGCAGTGAATGTGAGGCACATGACCCGATGATATACAATAGTCAGTGTGTTTATTGATATTTTGGCATACCTCATAAGTGACTAATAAAGTTGTATGTTGCATGTTGTATGCATTGTTAAAAGCAAAACATAAGAAACAGGAAGAAAACAAACACGATTGACCAACGACATACAGGACAGCAAAGTTATTACAGTAATGACCATTACAATCATAAATACCCGTCAGATAGTGCTACAACACATTTCATCAATTTACGCTAATACCACCCCCCCCCCCCCCCCCAAAAAAGTCCACTTCTGCAAAAAGAAACTTATCATAATAATTATTACCTTCTTGTCACTAGTACACCACTTATAACGTGTAGTTTCTACAAATTGGACCGTCTCGTCTCTAGTAAACCACTTATCACGAGTAGCTACCACAAACTGGACCGTCTTGTCCCTACCTAGTAAACCACTTATAACGAGTAGTTTCTACAAACTGGACCGTCTTATCCCTAGTAAACCACTTATAACGAGTAGTTTCCACAAAATGGATCGTCTTGTCCCTAGTAAACTCCTTATAACGAGTAGTTTCTACAAACTGGACCGTCTTGTCCCTAGTAAACCACTTATAACGAGTAGTTTCTACAAACTGGACTGTCTTGTCCCTAATAAACCAATTATAATGAGTAGTTTCTACAAACTGGACCGTCTTGTCCCTAGTAAACCACTTATAACGAGTAGTTTCTACAAACTGGACTGTCTTGTCCCTAATAAACCACTTATAACGAGTAGTTTCTACAAACTGGACCGTCTTGTCTAGTATAACCCCTTACCGTGAAGAGCTTCCACAAACGTGACCGACTTGTCTAGTATAGTCCTTACCGTGAAGAGCTTCCACAAACTGGACCGTCTTGTCCCTGTTGCCAATGATGAGAGTGAAGCTGGAGCAGTCAGTGACAAACTCGAGCCTCAAACTTTGACCGCCCAAGCCCATATCAATGTAGCGCAGTTCAGGAATGGGCTGGATCTCCACACACTGGATCCACTGGTCCGGGGGCTGCCTGAGGACGTATGAAGATATTTACTATATAAAGTTTCCCTGCAGGTTTTGGCTTTCAAGCCGTTATATCATTGTGTATTCTAGTGCAGCTTATTCTTTGAGATCACAGTCAATATCACACAGTTGAATCCAATCCTCATCCACTCAGCAATCCTTTATAGCCCTTTCTTAAATATAATACATGGGCAGATATTTATGCACTCCATCTGCCACAGTGGATGAACCATCAGGTCTGTCTGGTCTCTTCTTCTCCTGAAGCGATGTTATCAACCTAGTCATCTCCTTGAGAGATGGAATTGTTTCATTATTTTGAAGCCCCACCCTGGCTCTTCCCAGGGGCCGCAATATAGCCCGACCAAAAATATGGTTTCTGGTACCTCTCCCAGGGTGATCCTCATCTACATGGTGGCACTTTGTGTTATCGGGTGTTTATCGCATTATGTGATGTACTGGTGGGTGTACAATCTAATCTGCAAAGCGATGTATTGAAACCTGTAATATACTGCTATGTGCCACTGCTGCAGGTGGCGGGGTTACCTAGAACCTTCGGTTGAACGTGTGACTCACCTGTGGTCCTCGGAGGTGAACTTGAGGACATAGAACCTGTGCGAGGACATCACCAACATCCCTTGGTAGGGCTGCTCTATGATGTACTGGACAATTGGACACTGTCAGAGGTTCACCACAGCAAATTAGTATCAAGTAACAACAGTTAGTTGTAAATTATTTATACAGTAAGTTTTAAATAACTTTTACAGTTAGCTGTAAATAAAATTTGTATAGTTAGCTGTGAATTACTTTTACAGTGAGCTGTAAATTACTTTTACAGTGAGCTGTAAATTACTTCTATAGTTAGCTGTAAATTACTTCTATAGTTAGCTGTAAAATACTTCTATAGTTAGCTGTAAATTACTTCTAGTTAGCTGTCAATTACTTCTAGTTAGCTGTAATTTACTTCTAGTTAGCTGTAAATTACTTCTAGTTAGCTGTAAATTACTTCTATAGTTAGCTGTAAATTAGTTATACAGTTATCTGTAAATTACTTCTAGCTAGCTGCAAAAAACTTCTAGTTAGCTGTAAATTACATCTAGTTAGCTGTAAATTGAATCTAGTTAGCTGTAAATTACTTAGCAGTGAATTACTTATACAGTGAGCTGTAAATTACTTCTAGTTAGCTGTAAATTACTTATATATTTAGCTGTAAATCACTTCATAGTTAACTGTAAACTACTTCTATAGTTAGATGTAAATGACTTCATAAACATCTTTGATGGTATTTAAATTTTAACCGTAAACATCCCACCCACAGAAATGTTATATTTAATGGGTAATAAAAAAATAATTACAAGAGCTTGCCAGAATGTTCATGCGCACTTCTAAACTGTCTAAAATTAGTACGAGTATTAGAGAACTATGAACAAATTCATAACACTTCTTCTATATCGTACATCCAACAGTAAAGAACACAGCGGTGGTGACATGTAGATCGCACAACATACCGGTATCTTGTATATCATACATCCAACAGTAAAGTAGGTCACACAACATACCTGTATCTTGTATTTCATACATCCAACAGTAAAGTAGGTCACACAACATACCTGTATCTTGTATATCATACATCCAACAGTAAAGTAGGTCGCACAACATACCTGCATCTTGTATATCATACATCAAACAGTAAAGTAGGTCACACAACATACCTGTATCTTGTAAATCATACATCAAACAGTAAAGTAGGTCACACAACATACCTGTATCTTGTACATCATACATCAAACAGTAAAGTAGGTCACACAACATACCTGTACCTTGTATATCATACATCAAACAGTAAAGTAGGTCACACAACATACCTGTATCTTGTATATCATACATCAAACAATAATGAACCCAGCGATAGTGACATGTAGGTCACTCAACAAACCTGTATATTGTACACCATACATCCAACAGTAAAGTAGGTCACGCAACATACCTGTATCTTGTATATCATACATCAAACAGTAAAGTAGGTCACACAACATACCTGTATCTTGTACATCATACATCAAACAGTAAAGTAGGTCACACGACATACCTGTATCTTGTACATCATACATCAAACAGTAAAGTAGGTCACACAACATACCTGTACCTTGTATATCATACATCAAACAGTAAAGTAGGTCACACAACATACCTGTATCTTGTATATCATACATCAAACAATAATGAACCCAGCGATAGTGACATGTAGGTCACTCAACAAACCTGTATATTGTACACCATACATCCAACAGTAAAGTAGGTCACGCAACATACCTGTATCTTGTATATCATACATCAAACAGTAAAGTAGGTCACACAACATACCTGTATCTTGTACATCATACATCAAACAGTAAAGTAGGTCACACGACATACCTGTATCTTGTATATCATACATCAAACAGTAAAGTAGGTCACACGACATACCCGTATCTTGTATATCACACATCAAAGAGTAAAGTAGGTCACACAACATACCTGTATCTTCTATATCATACATCCAACAGTAATGAACCCAGCGGTAGTGACATGTAGGTCACACAACATACCTGTATCTTGTATATCATACATCAAACAGTAAAGTAGGTCACACAACATACCTGTATCTTGTATATCATACACCCAACAGTAAAGTAGGTCACACAACACACCTGTATCTTGCAGAGAAATTCCTCGTCAGTTCCAAACAGCGCCATCATCAGAAACAGTGTCAGCCGATGCTGGAGATGATGGAAACCATAGCCAGGATCTAAATCATCATCGCTGCTGTCATCTTCCGCAGCCACCGCCTCTCCCTCAGAGGCTACTGTTGCAGCTGTTGTGGTGTCTGATAGATGAGCTTTGTCCAGTGCCTCTTCAACAGGTAGCATGTGGTTGGTCGGAGTGACGCCAACTTGTAGATTTGCAATTAGACTCTTTGGGCATGCAGCTCTTTCCTCAAACTGGCAGACGTTTTCGGTTGGCATACGTGACACACTGTAAGTCTCCGTGAGATCCTCTTCTCTGTGTGAATGTTTGGGCTCATCACTAAAGTCATAGATACTAACTGTGTCATCTTGTGGTTCATGTGAATGTCTGTTTCTAGCAGCTGAGGTGATCAGCGTTGTTCCATCTTCTGAAGTCTGAGAACCAGCTAAATGCATACCAGATTCCATAAAAGCTGTGTGGATTTCATTTCCTAGAGGACTTTCTGAAAGCTCGCATGTATCAGACTGGTCACTGCTCAGGCTGGAGTGAAAGAAGTTCCGAAAGACCGAACTCACATCGTCAGCATAGACTGCAGACCGTCCTGTTGGAACATCTGTCCCTGCCAAGTGAGACACGGACTTGGGCACACTGTTACATACCACAGCTGAATGTCGGATATACTGGGGCATATCTGAACCAGATGTAGGAGATGCTTCAGAAATGTCACTGGTTTCTGAATGTTTCACGAGTTCATGGCTCTGACGTCTCCTCATGGAAGAAGCCATGTTGGTTCTCTGCCCGCTCAATATTCTACCAGAGGCTGGTGCAGAAACACGCCTGGTGTATCTGCTGCTGTACAAGTAGTCGGTACCGTCCCTGTCATGTTCGCCATGTCCAACTGGTATCACGATAAAAGCGTCTGTATCACCTGCCACAGACCTTCCTCTTGTGTCATGTCTGTCGTCGTCTTGATGCTGTCTCAGTTTCCTGGGATCACCTCTGTTGTTGACAACGCCTTCAAATATCATAGGCCGCGACAGATGCTCGTGTTTCTGAAGAAGGTCATCAGGCTCAAACCTGGCTCCATCGACATAGCTTTGGCTTATCTGGCTCCTGCTTCCATAATCAGACAGGGACCGGCTCAGGTGTTCCGAATGTAGAGACATGGAATAAGATGCCCGTTCAACCTGCGCTCTCCTGATTCGGTTTGGGGAGTCTCCACGCAGATTGGATGTGATCTGTGCAAGCTGGCAGGCGCTAGTGGGCCCAGCCATGTCAGCAGAGAAATAGTCTTCCACACAGACTAGCCCATCCCCAAAGTCTGCTTTGTCTTCTACCTACAATTAAAAAAAAAAAAAAAAACGACAACGTCATCATCATCAACAACAACATCATCATCAGACAGCAAGTTCTGTACATAACGTAGCTCCCATCACAGCCTGCCTGAAAAAAGCTCGGTCCTTGGCTAGCTCTCCCGCCTAAACTTACCCAAGGTTATTCTCAAGTCCTATGCCCACCTTCATGCTGGTCAGCCCCTGCCCCTAACGGCTGATACCATACCCTCCATTATTGCACGCCAGGTGACCTTTGGTATGGTCAACATTGTTTCTGTTTTCAAGTCAGTTTTCCTCAATGTTCAGATACTTTTGAATACCAATATTTATGTTCTTTTGGTCCATGGTTCTATAAGAATTATTGTATGGGATATTTCCTCAGAAGCCTAAATTGTTCTAACTAATGACAGCAAGATAGTCCATGACTCGCATCTCTACGCTGCTACAGGGAGGAAGCATGCTCTCAGAATTGTGTATTTGATTGTCTTGCTTAGCAACAAACTTTCAATGTTACTTCATCTTTACATTGTTATGGTAAACTTCTTTCTGAGCCCCGATGAACAGTCTGCATTGTTTTTTATGTGCAGCATATACGCAGTTTGTGATTTTCCGTTTTTCATCCTTATATTGTTATTATTGGGTGACATGTTTTTGTTTGAAGACTATTTATGACTTATCTTATTTTGGAAAAATAGGTTTTGTGCCTCTTTATTGTTTTTGTTTTTGGGATAGACAGTATTAGATGTTCTAAAATCTTTACACTACTTGAAGAGAGGACGGAGTCATCTGCATAGCCAAGTTCTAGAATTGGATTGCCGTAGATTTATAAGTGGATTCAAATGTCACAAGCTTGGTTAATGTCGATACCTTGGCCATAATATACTGAAGAACTGCCGTTTCAAAAATGCCTTTCTGATTCACTCCAGTTTGAACATCTGACGACTATGTGCTGTTCATGATACAATATTCTAATTAAACGTATGAATTGTACTGAAAGCCTCATATTTCTCAGGACAATCCAAACAGTTTCAGATGTTGAACACATTTCTACCCCCCCCCCCCCCCCCCCCCCAAACCTGTTATGATAATTACATCACCACTGTTGTATCTCTTAACCCTAACACAAACAGTCAAATAAATACTTGCCTCAGCCATTGCCCTGGCCATGTTGTCTGGAGCTCTGAAGGCGCTGCTTCGATCCCTCCCTGGGAGATGACCAGCCAGCTCTGGGTCCACGCTTCCAGGGAGATCACCAACCAGCTCTGGGTCCACTCTTCCAAGAAGATGACCAGCCGCTCCTGGTCGCGCATCCTGTGTCGTGCTGTAAAATCACAGAACACAGTTACACACGTCTGTCATGTGCAGAACACCAGTCTCTAGCAGGGAGATATTTTGTATTGTAACAAGAAAGTCAGGAGAACCAGAGGTAATATCACATGTAATCAAGATAACAAATGGACCTGTTACAGGGAAGCCACAATACACGAGAACTAGTTATGAGGGTTCTTTTCTGTTTTGTCACCCTATCTCCGGGCTTTCGTTAGGAATTCACTGTGTGGATTATATGTTACACCAACCCAGTGTGGAATCTACGGGTGACCCAATTATCACTTGTTAAAAGGTTGAACTGGGACTTGGCCTTTCTGTGTGTGGTCCAGACAGGGATCTTATAATAGCTGTTTATGAGTTCCTCAGGCAGCAGCTCGGAGGGTACAGTGGAAGCTATTTATCTGAACGGTGTCCATATGCACGCAAAGCGGTGGGCTGCAACAACGTATTCATCCAAATGGAATGTGATATGCCGGAAATAATAATCGTCGGCCATAGTTCTTACCTTCACACCTGCCTCCCCTCCCCTTCTCAACCACAGAGGCTGACATGTAATGGAGCATGCAGAAATACTTCCGGTGAGAAGACTATTCAGAGATCATAGTTTCTTGTAAGATAATGGTACACTTCAATAATCAAGATAATAGATAAACAACACACACTTCCATAATCAAGATCATAGATAAACAACATACACTTCCATAATCAAGATCATAGATAAACAACACACACTTCCGTAATCAAGATCATAGATAAACAACACACACTTCCATAATCAAGATCATAGATAAACAACATACACTTCAATAATCAAGATCATAGATAAACAACATACACTTCCATAATCAAGATCATAGATAAACAACACACACTTCCGTAATCAAGATCATAGATAAACAACACACACTTCCATAATCAAGATCATAGATAAACAACACACACTTCCATAATCAAGATCATAGATAAACAACATACACTTCCATAATCAAGATCATAGATAAACAACACACACTTCCATAATCAAGATCATAGATAAACAACATACACTTCAATAATCAATATCAAAGATATACAGCTGAAGTCAGATCTGTGATGTGCTAACTTCAAAAGAGAAGGTGGAATCAACATAAGGCTTCGAGTCATGACTGATTTAATATACACATTAGGGGCACGGGAAGGAAGACAGGCAGACAGGCAGGCAGGCAGACAGACAGGCAGGCAGGCAGGCAGACAGACAGGCACACAGACAGGCAGGAAGACAGGCAGGCAGACAGGCAGGCAGGCAGACAGGCAGACAACATCTTGACAGACATACCTGGCATATTCTCTGCCGAGCCGTGAGGAGTAGATCTGTTGTGTTGCTGCTGTAGCTGCTGTAGATGACGTTGGTGGTGATGAGGATGTCAACTGTGTGAACATCTTCTCAGCGCGTGACTTGAGGTTGAACTTGCTACGTGACGTCATGCGACTGTAATATGAACAGATGATTTGTTTGGCATCTTCGCCATGTTTTCTAGCAATGCTCTATGTGTCTGCTTGATACATTTGATATATGTGTCTGTTTTATACGCACGAACATGCGCTTTCTCTGTCTCCCTCTCCTCCCCCCCTCTCTCTCACTGTCTCTCTCACTCTGTCGACTCTCGTTCTCTCACTCTATCAGTGTCTTAGTTGTTTAGATTGATGACATATTATAAACAATTAAAGAAATGTTCCCGCCACTGATGTATCAGGCCAACTGTACTAGACTAAGTGTAGCAGAGTAGGAGGGGGGGGGGGGAGGATTGGCAGGGGGCATACATAGAATACCCACGGAGGGTGAATTATGACAATTATAAAAATGTGACTAGTTCCAGAGATCGCAGGCATCATCAACTGAGGCAACCTCACAAGTCCAGGAATAAACTAGCAAACGGCACCAGTTGTTTTGTGTAACATACAGAACGATGGGCACTTGATGTCCATTGTGGGTACTGCACGTCGGTTGTAGGTAATTTCTAGCCAGCCTCTTTTACTTGCTCATGCCCGTTCAGACAGGCTCAAGTAGACAGTCTTGGCCAATGATACACCACTGCCTCGATGTGGATTTGAATTTAAGAACTTGACCAAAATGCTGAAACAATACTACGACAGTAACCAGAAATGGAAACCACATTGAAGATATTTATATAGAACTTTACACAGCACCACACTCTACACGGCACCAAACTCTACACAGCACCAAACTTTACACAGCACCAAACTTTAGACAATAACAAACTTTAGACTGCACCAAACTTTAGACTGCAACAAACTTTACACAGCACCAAAAATTACACAGCACCAAACTTTACACAGCACCAAACTTTACACAGCACCAAAAATTACACAGCACCAAACTTTACACAGCACCAAACTTTACACAGCACCAAAAATTACACAGCACCAAACTTTACACAGCACCAAACTTTACACAGCACCAAACTTTACACAGCACCAAACTTTACACAGCACCAAACTTTACACAGCACCAAACTTTACACAGCACCAAACTTTACACAGCACCAAAAATTACACAGCACCAAACTTTACACAGCACCTAACTTTACACAGCACCAAACTTCACACAGCACCAAACAAACAAGAATAGGTGTCGACGATCACTGAGAGAAGTAAAGAACACACACACACACACACACACACACACACACACACACACACACACACACAGATCAGAAGACCTACTTAAAGACTTTTTTCATCAGTGGAATTGTCATCTTGTTTTTGCTGCTGAAGCCTGACACTGACAGCCTCTGGGACTTCCTGCCTTTGTCAGAGCCTCGTGTCCCGCCTGTAGATGCCAGTTCGATAATGAGGGTACTGCCACATCGTGGACACGCCGGTGTGACGTCGGGCAAATCTGCAGATATAAACAATACTGACCAGTCACTGGACAAGGTGTCTAAGTAAACACATGTTGATGTCTCCAGTCCATACGTCACCTCATTGTTTTCTGAGCAATAACTTGGACTTTATGATTCAATGACCACTTAAGAGTTACAGTCATTTATATTCATGACTGATCATACTATAATGACAAAGCACGTTATGTTATTACTAGTCATTCTAGAACTAGTGCAATTAAAAATCTAGTTATGTGAAACCATGAAACCAGTATCAGTGGCCGGGCTCCTCGTCAGTTGAACAGCTCGACTACCAGTATCAGTGGCCAGGCTACTTGACAGTTGAACAACTCGACTACCAGTATCAGTGGCCGGGCTCCTCGTCAGTTGAACAGCTCGACTACCAGTATCAGTGGCCAGGCTACTTGACAGTTGAACAACTCGACTACCAGTATCAGTGGCCGGGCTCCTCGTCAGTTGAACAGCTCGACTACCAGTATCAGTAGCAGGCTACTTGACAGTTGAATAGCTCGACTACCAGTATCAGTGGCCAGGCTACTTGACAGTTGAACATTTCGACTACCAGTATCAGTGGCCAGGCTACTTGACAGTTGAACAGTT